ATATAAATAAAGTCGATTATTTAAATTTTTAAATTGATTCTGAAATATATCTGAATCTTTTATCGACATAACTCCATCAAGAATAATTCCATCGATTACTTGAATTTGAGAATTAATTGATTGAATCGTTAGATAAGTTTCAATAATGCCACTTCCTAATTTTTGGAATAAATTCAACGATTCAGTTAACATTTACAAGTATTATTAACAATCAACAAAAGAGATTTGGTCACCAAATATTTTATTAACAAAATCTACTTTAAATTTTCGTATTTCAAGACACAATCCCAAAAACTGAATAAAAAAAACCAGTTAAAAGTCAATGAAAATCTCATTGTTTACATTGTTCAATTATTTGTTCACGTTCAAGTGAAATTGCTCATGTTCTTTTTTAAACCCATAAGGCAAAAGAGAGGAAAAATCTTTTATTTTTCATTGATTATCGATCGAATATTAATAATCTTTTTGCGTCTTTGTTTTCAATTTTTTAATCAAGTTTCGACTTGATTTTAATAGAAAAATAGATGTTGTTCAAGATCGAAATTGAAAATGATTGGTATTCTATATTGTTCATGCGTCAGCTAATAGTGCCTCTCATACGGCGAAGACCGAAGCAAAAAATATATATTCATTAACATTGGACATTTTTTTTAATCTTTACTTCAAATTTCAATCTTCAATGAAATTTTCTTTCATTAAAATGCAATATTTATGCTAAAAAATATTGACCTAATTTCCATCAAAATCAAGTTAATGATTTTAATGGAATTGATCTTTGCATATACGTTTGCAAAAAGTACATTTACTTCTGTGAGAAAAATTTAGTGATCATCTGCTGACTAATTGTCTATACTAATCGAACTACAGTTCAAGTCAAAAAGATTTTAAAAAATTTATTTGTCAAAAACCATATGTTCCATATTTTGTTTGATTCCAAACTCGATGACTTTCCCACAGAACTATACTTGTTAGATTCCTGACACAAAAAAAACCGAAAAAAAATGGAATAATGTCGAGCTTAATTATATTATGAGCCGAATCAACTCTTTTTTTCTTCTGGTTATGAACACTTTAAGCAACTGCTTTGTACTATGAAATAATATTAGTCTTTTTTTCTCATTCCGGCATACATCTATTTTTTTTGTCATATGAGATTTGCAAAGAGCTTGATATGCTAGCAAACTCAAATGTTTGCCTTTTGTCGTTCGTTTTACAGACATTTTTAATAAAAAAGGCTTCGAAGAATCAAAATAAATTTCGTCTATGAAAAGTGAATAGTCAAAAGACGAATAATATACATTACGATGAGGTATTTTGTATTTTCTCAAAGTATGTTATATTTAAATTTCAATTACCTTGACTCAATCCGTAAATATAAGTTGATGTTAGAGTTGTCGGCTGCGATTGATTTATTGAATATTGAATTTGATATTGTAAATCTTGTGCAATATTAGCATTTGTCATTGCATTTATTATATTCAATGATTGATTAGGTGAAGATGGAACTGTTGTTTCAATTAATTCTTTAGCACAATCAGTCCAACTTGTTGCTGTATAACAATGAATCGATGGTTTACTCATTCCTGCTCCTCTATATTGAAATAGATACATTATTGGACGTGTATTAGAATATATCTTATGATAATTATTTAAAACAATTTCTTCTAGCATAGATACTCCAAATTTTTCCATAGCAAATTGTGAACCACCACCACCATTAATAAGCCAATAATTGATAATATGTGTCGTAGATGAATCATTTCCTGGTGGTAGTGAAAATAAAAACAAACGTTTCATATATAAATCTGTCAATGGAATTTGTTTTGTTGAATTATAATATTGACCATCGAATGTATTTGGATTAAATTGATTCCATTCGAGTGGACTTGTTAAATATATACATTCGGCTTTCATTGTTAAATTTTCTGATATAGTTTTAATAAATGACCCATCGTTGAAAGAACATGGATACCAACCTATTGTCATTGTGCACAAGTTTAAAATCAAGAGTAATCGGTTATTCATATTAGAGAACATTTATTATTCTCGATCTATTTGTGTAAAATGAGTATTAATGAAGAATTTCGTATATTTAGTATTAGTCTATGTCGACCAATCTCTTTCTAGTTTATTCTTTCTTTCTTCAAACAAACTCTGATACTAGTAAAAGATAACAATCGACCCACACATTTATCTTTATGAATTCCGCAGATGACCAACCAAGAGAAAAGAGAAGAAACGGAGGTAGTAGGTAAAAGATAGCGCCATTACCGAACATTTTATAAAATGAGGATTGAAATAAAGATGTATACTACAATTTCATACACCAAATATTTGTCGAACAGCCGTCTGAGAAAAAGTTTTTTTAATACCTCTCTTTTTTCTTATTCTATGAATATTTGATGTTCGATTTTACATCGAATCAAAGAAGAAAGGTCAAGGTTTTTGCTTTTTGTTCTTATTGAAAAATAATAATATCTTTTCATTATCTAAGTCGATTATCTTAAGACCTGTGATTACTGAGTATGATAAAAATATTGATTTTATCTTTTCTTTCTTTGTCAACACTAAAACGGCATTTGCGATCAATTTAACATCATTTTATATTTCTTTTAGAAAGAAGAAAATAAACGATCTAGCAATCAAAATTAAAGTAATTAGAAACATAAGAATCGTTGAACATAGTTGAGGCCTAATACAACACATTAAATTATATTGAAATTTAGTTAACAATGTCATACTATTTAGAATTTCTTCTAATTCATCCTAGATGATTCTATATTTCAAATCAGTTTTGCAAACAATTCTTAGTATCAGTTAAATTCATTCACTATTAGTACGATTTTGTTTTCCATGAAAAATAATCAAAATAAGAGCTTTTCAAGATTTGGTGGATATCAAAAGAACTGTCACGTCTTCTAGTATTTACACTAGAGAGGGTATGGCTGTTTGTGAAGAGAAGATCTACACCCACACACACCTCCTTGATCAAGACTACGTTATACGAATTTGGACTGTAATACGCAAGAAAAGACTCAAGATTAATATAATTGCATGCCTACTTGTTCAACAAGTTGTTCATGATAATTGATCATATTTATTAATTGTATGTATACGATTTTTTTGTAAAATGGCTCAACCTACTCCACGAATTCAGATGATTTCATCATAAATTTGCCACAAAAATGTATGCAATCAGAAATCAACTAACGTTGTATCTGTTTAGTCTCTCATTTCGTTGAATTGCAAGAGAAACTCAAGTTACTTTTAAATGGTTACATGTTTGTAGTTTTTCCTATCACAAGTTGTGTCAGAATTCATTCATCATATTAATCATGCAAGTGAAAGAAAGAATATGCGACTTACATTGTTGAATACAATCAATAACATTTTCACAATAAAAGGTCACTCTATTCCATCGGTCCCGAAACAATTTCAAAATTTGTTCGATCTTTATCTATTCTCAATGAAGATTTATACAAAGTGTGTGGGTGTGGGTTACGTGACAGAGAAGTCATACACCCACATTACCGTTGTCTAAGTTGTCTATACATTATCCTTCCAGCAATAGCTTTTACAGAGCTAGGACTGATTATCTGGTATACATTGTCAGAAGGACCGTCTCAATTGACGCTCGTCATTTTCGTAGTCATCATTATAATGATATTGATTGGCTGGGGTTAGGTATTGTGGAGCTCATGTTGCTTACAATGCTCATGTCTCTGCTGTTCTGATGAGACGATATGTCAATTTGAATGATGTTGCTGCCTAACAAAATGTTGTCATAAATGTCATAGTTGTTGTTGCTCTACTTTTTGTAATGAGTATAAAGGGTACCCGTGGTATTGGGTCTGCGACTGTTGTAAAAACCTATGGAATCGTATTTGTTGTCAAGAATCAAATTCTACTACACAACCTGTCTCGGCATCTTCCTCAGTCCATCCAGTTTCATTTAATCAATCTCAAAGATTAGTGAAGCAGTCTCTCTTTCAGCTTCTTCAACATTCACATTTAGTGAATCATGAAAGCTCTTTTCACGAATGAGAATAAAATAATATACCTTTTTTTCAAGAGTGTGTTTGTTTTTACATTGATTTTGTGTCATTTCTAAGTTGAAATAAACTCGAGTCGTCATAAATTTCAATAAACTTGGATGTTGGTAGAATATTGAAATAATTGATTAACATCGTCATTCTGTATATCTTTGCTTTGATAATCGACAAGGTTTGATATTACAAATATGCTTGTAATCGAATTTGCCATACAATCATCGAGACTATCAAAATACCGTAATGAACGTAGCGCATAGTTCATTACTGAATAACATTGCTAAAATGTTGCTTCGTGATTCATAAAGTGATGTCCCATCTCTTGCTTTCTAAACATTGATGGGGAACGAGGTGTGCTACAGTTTTTCTGATACTATCAATTGTATGACTATTGTAGATGTGATACGTGCTAATGCATTAACGTAAACTTGCAAAAGCACCTTCCGAAGTACAATGAGCATATTTTGCCAAAGCGATTTTTCAAGATGGTAGATGGCACTATTTGAGTTTACACTAGACATACCAAGTCTTTTGATCGCCTGTGGCAACAGATGGATTTGTTGGAAGCAATATTGCGTGAAAGATACTTGATGGTTTTTTGAAAAGCTGTCACTGCCAAATAAAAAGTTGCTCTTGCCCTCCTAAAGATAACCACGGTTGTAGTATGACATGATTGTATACAGTGTTACTAAACTTTTCGTCCTCTTTTGTCTACATTGAAATTCGCTTTGTCTTCTCTTTTCGTCTTTAGAAGTCTTTCCTATTCAGTATAAAAACCACGACAGAAAATGTGCTAGATAATTGCCTATGGATGGGTTTGGGTATGGGTGAGTCTTTTTTTTAAATTCCCAACCCACCCTTAGTCACATCCTGATCTACATACACATCCACATTCTTATGGACTTAAGGCTCGTTTAGAATCATTAGTGTTCCATTGCAAAATAGTATTAGTGTAGTATATTGCGTCTATTTTATTAGATTGGTGTTTACTTGATCGAAAATTGATTATCTCTTGATTTTTTGAGAAGAAAATTCTTATCCAGAATCAAAGCAAAATGCATGATTATGCCGTACAATGGTTCAGTGAGCAGCTAAGATTTATTTATTTTCATCTAAAGTAAAATCTGTTGATGCATTTACACAGCACCAACTATTTGAACAATACTCAAGCGTTTAGTTTTCGGTTGATTTCATTACAGTTAGAAACAAGTCATATAAAAAGATTTTAACTCGGAATTTTCAGTTCTTCCAGCTGCATTAGAGAAACACTCTAAGTGAGACAGAACCTCGAAGTTTGAGCGAAGCAAGCTGCTATTGTTGAAAAACTTTGTGCAGAACTAGTCACTTGTCTTAATTACCTGGACCAATTTCATGACTGATAAAACGCTGAGAGTGGGTAACGCAATATGTTTCATCCTAAGTCAATGTGACTGTGTGTGAATATGGGATATGTGTATCTGTGTACATGTAGATGTAAGTGTAGGTGTGAGTTTCAATAGTCTATATATTCTAACGTCTCAGTACTATTGTTAGTAACGAAGTAAGGCGACTAGATGCCATTGTAAATATTACTGAGCACCATTTAGTAACCTGCAGTGGCAAAGTAAGAGTATGAATCTTTATATTACTAACATATACTCGATTTGAAATTTGCCCTTAGTAAAAGCAAAAATACTTAGCATTGTTTCCATTGCAAAGTCATGAAATATTTGACATCTTTACATGATACCATCGATACAACAGATGCTTTTCTGTATTTTTATCATGTCTAATAAGTTTGTGTATACAAAATTAATTTGAATTGCTACATGTTTTACTTTTTTTCTTCTTTCTTTGATGAATGAAGACAGTAAATCTTCTTTTAATAAATGTTAAAACCCTTTGGTTTTCTTAAAGAAATATGTTAATTTCAACTACATAACTAGCGTACAAGTTGGATAAAAGAACAAAGACTAACATCTGATTTCGTTATACCATTAAGAATGATGCACAACATATCGTAACTATAAGTAAATACTGACAAAACTTATCAGAAATAAGACAGAGAGAAATCGGTATAATAATTTATTTAGGTAGCAGTATTCTGTCTGTTTCTTTAGAAAATCAACAAGAAATATGAAATATCCATTGTTGTTCGTTCTACCAACAGTGAAACTTGCCATTCATGCTAATATTAATGTGCGAATGACTATCAAGCAGTCGTTTTCCGAAGAATTTCGATCACCCACACCCACACCTTCATAACTAAAAAGTACTTCAATAGTTTTGAAAGTATGAAATCGTCGAGTAGAAAACAATTATTGCGAGATACGATAAACAAAGTCATTGGGACGCAAAAAATACTACTGTAAATATAAAATCTTCGACAAAAAAAGAATTTATTTTAATTGAACTGGTGTTAATCTTTCATGCATTGTCGATCATCGCATTTTCCCCTTCACAATCATTTTCATCATCATCATCATCATTGTTATAAATAAACTCTTCTAAATGTTCAAATGTTAAATTACAACGAGTAGTCGATTGTGGTATTTTCAATGTTTTATCTTTTAATTGTTTTCTTATTGTTTTTGATAAATTGATACTACGATATAATATTAATACTTTTAAGTTTTTCAATGAATTTAATATAAATAAATCTTTATCTGTATATTCTTCTCTATTGTTGTTGTATGGATATGACAATGATAATTCTTCTAAGCTATGAATTGTTGATATAACTGTAAATGATGGAAAACAAATCGATTCTAAGTTTAAGATTTTTAAATTATTATAATGAGCTAAATTAATTAATAAATTGTCTAAATTTTCTCTTGTTATACTTATTTTATTGAATGATAGAGTTTTAAGATATATAAATTGTTTTAAAATATTAATATGTTCGAAATTTAAATGTACTTCATATTCATCTGGCGTACAATCAGCTTCTGTAGGATATTGTATCATCACTAATTCATCATAGTTAATATTTTTAGCACTTATTTCTAATTCTTTCAATGTTTCTTTTAATGATAGTAAATAATTGAAACCATCTATATTTAGTTTACTTTTTATAGGTGAAAATCGATGTGATTTTAATGAATTAATTGTTGATATTTTACTTAAATAATTTAATATTTCATTTGTAATCAACGTATGTTGAAGATGAATATATTGTAATTGAGGTAGATGTGAAATTGATGATAAAATTCTTAAATCCTTAGATAAGATTTCAAACCATTCTAAATATTTTAAATTAGAAAGATATTGAATTGAATTTAACTGTTGATTTCTACTTCTTTTACATGTATAATTATCTTGACGAATAATTAATTTTTCTAATTTTGCTAAATGTTTAAAATATTTATTAATATCAAATTCAATTTTTGTATTTGATGTAACAAGAATAAAAAAATATGTTAAATTGGGAAGAAGATATAATAATGATAAAACGACGAGACACGATGTCATTGGATCGAAAAGTTCTCTATTTAAATTCGATATTCTGTAAGGTTGCATAACTAAAATTAATTTTTGTAATGTTTGGGAAATAGAATTAAATAGGTTCGCTATAAATACAGGACTTAATGAAATAAAACATAATTTAAGAGAATGTAATGAAGTAAAATGAAATTGAAAATTAATTGATTTATTTATTGATAATCTACGTTCATATTGACCAATTTCAATTTTATTAATATGACGTAAGATTTTTGAATTCGAAACACTAATCAGTTGATTTTCATTTAATAATGTTAATTTGGTATTTTTATTATAACAGAGTTTATTTGAACACAATATATTATACCATGTTTTACACGTTAGTGAAACTGAAATCAAAGACTGAATAGGTAAATATTGAAAAATATGCTGGTAACAAACTAAAGGGATTGTGGATAGATCGAAGAGACTAGATGAGTTGTCAGACAGATGTTTATTAGACTTGTTCGTATCAATTTGCATATCATCGAATTTTCTCTTCTTATTTTCCATTGTATTTTGCTATTTCATTGAATATAACTTTGATAGATTTATCTATAAGAGCAAATAAATAGTTTTCATTATGGTAAAAAACGGTAGAGAGTACAAAATGAGCTTTGTACGATTGAATGACAGTTCTTGAGACAAGTTAAATTTAATAATAGATGGTATTGTATTGTCGTTCTGTGAAACGAAAAAATATTTACGTTTTTATTTCTTATCTGTCAACTATCAAAACTTTTTCTCTTATAATGATAGCACATGCAACAAAAACGCTTGATACTTTTATCACTCTGAGCTCTCGAGTTAATAACCAGTAAGAAGAAAAATGTACTTCTTTCATATATTATATGCCAAGCAAAATTCATTTTCTCTTTTGAAATTTTTATGTCTTTACATTGGTTTCTTTTATTTTTAATGGTAGAAGTTTTTTCTAAGCGTAATAATTGGAAAATAATAATAATAATGCAAAATATCTCATGACTGTTTTTTGTCTATTTCATTGTATCGATATCTTCTTAGTTACAAAAAGAAGAAAAAGACTTTGTTTAACTTGATATTTTTTAGAGAATAGAAGATATGTTTGTGATGAAATGTTTGATTGTTGAATTCGTTTTATTTGAACGAAAAATACATTTTACTTCCAGAAATATCTGATAAAAGTAATTTAAAATGTGTAGAACTGTTCTTTCGACAAAAAATCAAAAAAAAATATTCAAAAAATAGAAAATGTGAAAATGTTTTAAATAAACTAGTTTCGCCTTTCCAATTAAGATGTAATCTAGTTAGAGTCTTCTAAAAACAAAATCGGGCATCTTTCATCATATTATAAGGTCTCTAAGAATAATATGCCATAAAACTTATTTTTGTTTTACAAATTAAGATTTGATTTGCAAAAGAGGAAACTCGCA